TCAACTTCTATTCAAAATAATTAAATAGCTCTCAAGAAGAAAGTGAACTGGAATCAACTGGAATTTTACATTTGTTATTTTTAATTAATCCACAACTATATTACAATATAAGAAATTTATCTAATTGAGCTCAACTATTGGTTGAAATCAACACTAACAGATATAAGTGTGCACTAAGATTTACATACTGACATAAACATTTGATATAACTTATCATTTATGGTGACAACTTACATACCCACACACATATACATACACTCATATAAACATAATGTATTTATATGTGTGAATGAATGCATTTGTGTTTGTGTGTGTATGCTGTATTGCTTTCCATTTTTAATATAATATATTCAGATTATGGAAAAAAACAAAGATGTCTTAAAAAGTTGTAAATGGCACATGGCATAAATGATGTTTAGAAAATAAATCTGAAGAACTGTGACAATGCCGCTAAATATAACAGAGACAAATATGATTCTTTTTCAAGAGTCATCCTTCCACTTATTGAATAGTTTATTTCAATAAGTTATTAAGTATTCAGTTCAAACACAAAATGAACAATATTCTCAATGGAGCAATAGCTATTCTATATTATGTGAAGCTTTATCAGATTTGTTCTTTGAGAATATCTTCCCTACCTGCAAAATGTGTGCAAAATGAAACTAGTAATAGAGTTATGCTACTGATTAGGCTAATGAAATATTTTGCTAATACATTATAAGAAGGTTAAACAAGTATATACCTTAGATTCTTATATTGACTTACAGTGGACAGTCACAACTGCTAAGTTCATTTTACAATATCACTCACCCTTTATAACAATGACTATTCCCAATCATATCCACAAGAAAAATGTATAAAAATCCATGCACAAGGTAATAATAATGATATACACTCAATTATCAGTACTTTAAATCTCAAGTTAAAATTAATTGTAACTCAAATAGGAAATCTGACTATAGGAACCTAACATTCATTGATGTAATACTGTTAGTAACTCAAGATAGTGTCTGGGATTTAATAAAAGCTGCCTGGAGTTAAAAGAAAGCAGCCAATACACTTACTCAGTACCTATTCTAATTCCTCTAAATTGACCATGATCCCTAAAAAGAACTCCATAAATTATCTAAACTAATTCATAATTCTATAATTTGATTTATTAGATACCAATATTTTAATCCATTAGACATTCTATAGCCTAATTAAGTGCCCAGCAACATTCTTATGCTGACCTACCATATATTCCGGCGTATAAGATGACTGGGCATATAAGACGACCCCCAACTTTTAAGAAGATTTTCAGGGTTTAGAAAGTCGTCATATACGCCGGAAAATATGGTACAATATTGAATTTCTGTTTATAGATGAGCACAATAGGAGCTCCATTCCTTTGCTGCTAGAAAGCGAGTGTTGCCCACCACTGCTTCCCTAATGCTTCCTGAACTCAGCTGGTATTTTTTTCCCCATATATTTTATTGATTTTTTAAAACATAAATCACTTAATAGTTGGTAAACAGTGTGTTTGCTGGGTTTACATTTGTAAAGAAAAATCATTAACAATTGGTTTCTATAATCTATAATCCACACAGTACATTTAGTTGATTTCCCCTTTTCCCCAAAATGTCTTCTTTGCAAACCTTGAAATAATATAGTTCTTATTATTTTGATAAAATATATTTAATCTTTAAATATTCCATTTAATGTGCCTAGTCATTTAATCCTTTAGGTCTTATTTTTTTCTTTTTTATACATTATAATTTCTTTAAATTCAGACACATTTAATTATCTAAAACATTTACATCTAGGCCATTTCAGCAGTATTATATTACTTATATCAAGAAATAAAATAAAAGGGGGGGGAAAGCATACAGTATTATTTAAGGAATTCATCTCTCTTAGAATGACATATGTATTCAGAATCTTTTCTCTTTCTTTAACCATATTCAAACAAATGTTTCTTTTTTAAATATTCTCTCTGGTAGATCTCATCATCTATTTTCTTAATTTTCACTTTGATCTTTTTCCTTCGACCAGTATCTTTCTTAATCAATTGATTTGCTGAATCAAAAAGTTTTTCCATATATTCATGACTGCTGCTATAGGTATAAGAAGCAAATCAAATGTTTCTTTTTTTTTTTGTAGATGTAATGTCCTTAATTTATATAATTCACTGTTTTCTACTATTTAATTGCTTTTCCTGAAAAAGAATAAAGTGATGGGCGATGTAGAAAAAATGGGATTTTTGAATGTTTTGTCCTGCTGGCTGTGGAATTCTGGGAGTTGAAGTCCACATGCCTTAAAATTGTCAAGGTTGAGAAACACTGTGTTAGTGCTTATTTCTGTAAAAAAAATAGGGCTGGCCACTAGGGGGCAGATTGGTTTTAAATTCAGAGAACAGCTACCTGGCGTATAAGACGACCCTGGACTTTTGAGAAGATTTTCAGGGTTTAGAAAGTCGTCTTATACGCCAGAATATACGGTACTTAGAATTATAATGCTAATATTTTAAAAAGTTTTGAAAGAAGGGAAATCAACTTCGATGTTCTACAACTACTTGGTTGTGATAAATGTAAATGGTTAATTTTATGCAATTGCTTCAAGTTAAGAAGTGTTAAACTAATAATAATTACCCACTACAAAATTATTGTCTCACTGAATGAGTGCCTAATACATACAGAAAGGTAAAATTATCTGACAAAATACATTTCAAATTAGTGTAGCCATTCAGAAGCTTCTTGGATTTCCACGTTCCATCTCAGCTTCCATGTAAAAGGCTAAGCAGAATTTCTGTAAATACGTTTTGGCATAATCTTGTTGAATGACAAATGACATACTACCAGGTGCCAAGATAGGCAGGGAATATAGTCACCCCCTCCTTCAGCCTTAACTGGAGTAGCTTTGTTCTCAGTGCCCTGAATAATTAATAACTCCTTTGGCAATCAGTCATGCATTCCTTAATGGCACCTAAGGCATCAAGTATCCCATTCACCAGCTCCCCCACAAGTAACAATAGCTTTTACTACACTGGGTATTCAATGCCAAGCTGTAAATGACATAATTTAAACTAAACAAGTCACTAGAATGAATATTACCCAGACTCAAAATGGAATGTTTTATTAGGTTTGTTTACATAATATATAGTTGCTGTGTAAACCTGATAAGTATTTGAGATAGATTTGAGATAGACTTTCTTAACATGATTTTTGCCAAGTTACAGTACTTCCCTTTTTGCAAAGAATTTCAGCATTAAAATACCTTTATGAAGTCCAGAATGAAAATTGTTTTTGAAGATAAAACACATGGGCATACAAAAATATTTGTAGAATTTATAATAATATATTCTAATGATCCAAGACTATGTATCTGAATAAATACAATAACCTGATATCTGGATATGATTTAAGGTATTTGTCATTTTTACAATATTACTGTATACAGATGTATCAACTCTCCTCTGAATTTGGTGTTAAACAGATAACTATGTATGCATTGTACCTGCATATAGGTAAAAACAATGATAATTTTACAAATGGACACATTTCTTTTAATAATCAAAGCTTTGGTAATTTATTTTATTGAAGCAAATATCATGACTTAGGAATACCTTTCCTACATGAAACATAAAACTGTTTAGAACAATTAACTATGTTACAGAATTAAAACAAAATCACTTCTGACAGACATTTAGGACAGTTCTTCTCTGTGTGGGGCTGCTAATAATAAAAAATAATCCTGCCCTGTTTTATTTCATGTTTATCATCTTTTCCTCTGATGATGCATCTAGATTTTCTTCTTCTTGAAATAGCATTTTTCATAGCATAGTAGTATTTTTCATGATTTAAAACCAACTAATAAAAATGTACAAATAAGATTATTGTAAAAAAAGTTTTATCTCTGTGATTTTAAAAAACTTTTTATTGAAATCAAAACTTTAAACTTTCATTGTATTCAGTATGTAAAATTTAAGCATTTGAGTTATAACAAACTAAAATTTAATAACTGTTTATCTTTTGTGACATTATAGTCATAGAAAAGTATATATACTATTCACAGAATAGTACTTGACCAGATGGTTCTACCCATCAATGCAGAGAATAGATTCTCAATAATAACATATTTTGTTTATTTATTCAACTTGTATAGCTGCCCAAAGGTGTGCAGAAATCATTTAATGTCAGCAACAGATGCTGGAACCTCCATCACTAAGCAAGGTGATTTTTTTTCTGTTAATGACTGCTATGCTTAGCAATGGACTAGGCATTCCTAATTAGGTTGTTAAGTGTGGACTACCTGTACTTCAAACAAATCCAAAATGCATAGCTTTGAATCAATTTTACAATTACACTTTCCTACTTTCATGACTTGGATCCCAACTTCCGACAAAACAAAATGTTTAATTTCCAAAAAGATATCTGGTTAATTAAGAAACAGAACAGAAAGGTTAATTAAGATAGAAAAATCCATCTTACATAAATCAATCAGGAATAAAATAAAACTAAACATGGAATAAATGCTTAATAAGTTTCCAGCTCTTGTTTAAAGTAGCCTACAATGCCATCCATTTATACTTTAGTAATACATGTAGAAGTGCAATAAAAAAAAATAATCAGCCTCCTTTATATCAATCAAATTACACCTCCTATTTAGGTTTCATTTAAGGGATTACTTTAAAGTCCTCATTTAACAACCACAATTGGGGCTGGCAACTCAGTCATTAAGCAAAATGACCCTACTTATGATATTCCTTTATTTTTACTTTCCTTTACAGACCTGGGAAGGTCATGAATGCAAGGACTGGTCACAAAGTTACTTTTTTCAAATCTATTGTAATTGCATCTAGTTGTTTCCTGAGTCAGTCACTACATGACAAGGACTTGTATTGACATTTGTCAGGCATACTTCAGTTGGATTCCTGCAATGAATCAGAGTCTTTCCAAATCTACAATTCCACTAATTAACCCTTAATTTTTAACATTATGCTTTGAGAATCAGGTACTTACTGTTGTGAGAAGATTATAATGAATACAGAAACCAGGTTCAGAAGGAAAATACTCATCAGAAACAAATCTTATCCTGATCTGGTTTCCTTTAGAGATCTGTTTGCCTGGAACAGTAGCAGAACCACACCACCGTCCTAAGATAGTGCCATCACTAGGCTCTTCCACTTCTATGAAGTCATACCTACAGCAAAATATATATACATAGATGTATATTTAATCATTGTTATATGCACATGGGAATATTTATGAATAAGAGAAACCTGTAAAAACAAAACTCATGTATATTTAAATAAATAGTGAAGTATTTTAAATAAACAACAACAGAAAAAGGAAGCAACAAAAACATATATAACACACTGAAAAGTACCCATTCTTGCCGCGTCCCATGCACAGTAAATCAATCCATAATTCTTTTATAAGAGATAAATTCCCAGGGTTTTTTTTTCACAATTCAAATGCACATTCATATCTTATGTTGTGCTCATATTTCTACCAACCAAGACAACTAGATAAAAAAAATGCAATAGTTCATATTATATACGTACTTATTCATTATATTCAGCATGAAATTGACATCAAAGTTAAACCTATTAAGAACATTTTCCAGAATATCAATAGATGTGAAAAAATATTCTGTTGAATTAGTTTTGGTATCATAATAACTTAAGGTTATTAAGGTTCTTAATAATTAATTGGTTATTATATTAATAAATTTATTAATACATTATATTAATAAACCAAATCTTTAATTCAAAAATGTTATAGATAACAAATATTTTCTTTCTTTCTCATTTTCTTTAATAAGCCTTTGTCTGTATATTTAAAGAAAGTAATGTTTTAGAATTTATTTGACAAGAAATCAAAATATTAATGATCCCATTTACAAGTTAATTAAAAAGTACTTGCAATTTTCAAAATGGGATTCTCTCACAATATGAACTGGTTATGTAGGGATTACAATAATACTACTGACTCAATATTTTCAATTGTGATTCCACAGTAAATACACCAGAATCATTGCTAAAACGGGGCCATGCCTCTGACAGAATATCAGGAGTCACATAATAACTTCCTAATTTTACTACCCCCAGATGTGTGAAACACGTTACTTGCTGAAATAGTTACTTGCTGAAATAGGTCCTTATCTGTTTGCCAGACAGGTGCCTTAGGTCTTCCAGCAAAAATTTGTAAGTGGATTGTTCAATACAGATATATTTAAACATTGCTTCAAAAAAAAAAAAAAAAGATTGGTTTTTCAAGCAGCCATTGACAGTACTACTAGGGAATAATTGAAAACAGTAATAGCATCAACATTTCAATCCCAAAATAATCCAGATGAAATAATAGGGAATTGAAAAGTATATTCTTATTGGAAAAGAATGTTAGCATTGTCATATACCTATCAAATTAAAATTCGACATATAAACTTAAAATATACCACATATATACAAATTAGGCTCATATGGAGTAGGTGATCATTAGAATAAATTAATTCATTTGATTTTATTTGCAATGATTTAAGTTTCTGACATTTAAAACATGAACATCTAAAAGGCTGCTTTCTCAAAATCTCAGGTAAATGATTGTGTTCATTATGCTTTCTATCATTTTTTATTCTTTCCCGTAGTCTTTGGTTCTTTTTTGTATTATTTGGCATTAATTCATTGAAAAAAAAAATACATTAGATGAATTATTTGTTCTACTCTTAAATAGAATTTGCTGTGCTGCTAATATGAAAGGGAAAGTAAAAAATGTGGAAAAGTTCTAGTCAATAAATATGTTAACTCACACTTGCAAAACAAGAATTGAGATGCAAGCCATGGTTCAATCTACAAACAAAATAGAATATTATTTAATTAATGGGGCTGCTTACAGTTAAACATTAAACCATTTATTTGAACTTACTAATACTTCTTTAGATTATTTGCATCAATCCCCAAATGTAGTCATTTGTTTAAATCCAAGAAATACACAAACCTGATTTCTTGCTGATTAATCTGTCTCTTGAGTCAGAATCCTTTTCATATTATTTTTATCTTTTGTTTGCAATATTGTGTATTTTATTTAATTAAATATTTGATAATTAAACAATTTTGATTGCCTACATATTCTTTTTGAAATGACATGTGGAGATCAAACACAAAAATCAATGACATTCTTGAAATGTTGAAAATGGTATAAGAGTTGACACATGAAGTAAAACAATCACTGACAACCAGAACCCCATGTCTCTAGATGATCATTATAATCCCTGTAATAGAATCACAGCTATTGTATTGCACTGTTCAAATCAGTATTTAAAGGGCTTTACTAAGCCTGCTTTTATTGTCCAATGAAACGTAGGTTTCTCTCAGCAACATGATACAGAGCACACTTGATACCTAAAGCAGTTTTATAATGACCACATCTCAGACATCCTTGGGGACTTTTCTTTCATGCTTTCTAAAAACAAGCCTGTTTTTGTAGACACAATGCCTGTTGATGTAATAAAAGTCAAAAATAGAGGATGGGTGAATTGCAGTACTCTTGGCTTCCAGAATGTAAAATATTTCAGCTACTTCAAATAAAAGTAATGAAAGCATGTACTGAGGAAGTCTCAGTGGCAACTTTCCAACCCTGGTTCTTTTCCTTATGAGTTCTAAATATACTCTTAACTGCCTAATAGAATTACTGGAATTTTTTTTCTCTTAATGTTTTCAAGTAGATGTTTCATTTAATTATAAGAAAAATGAACTTAGCCATAAATTTACTTTTATCAATGGAAGTTATTGCATACAGAATTGGACACAGTTCAAGTGCCCTATACACTGAGTTCTATCTACATACTCCATATAAAATCTAGCCATAGAAACTATTGTTCAGCGTCTGAAACCCACTGTCCTTGTTAATTCAATGTAGGTAAAATACTCTCTGAGTTAAACTAAACTAGACACAACATTAAATAAATCTTTGTAGTTACTATACAGGACTTGGAAAATTATAAACAGCCTCAGTTATGGCAACAATCAGATGCAATTTAACAGGGGTTTTTTTGTTTCAACTCTATTCTCATGGAATAATCATAACTTGAAGCTATAACAGAAGCTCCAGAGCAAGGTTTTATTCTGGAACTTTCATACAGAACTGCAGCTTTTTAACATTTAAATTACTGTCTGTTACAAAGAAGTTGTCAGAATCCAATTATATTTCATCTTTAGTTATCAAATATAGAAAACCCCAATTCTGCCTTCTCTGGATTCTGCCATAAGAGGGAGAGAAGGGGGGAGAACAAAGGGGCTTTATGGCCCTCACTTCCTTCAGTATACTTCTAAGGAACTGAATGTGTGTATTGCAAAAGAACTAACCATAAGAATTGGGCCGTTTTTCTTTCATGTAGTTTCTTTGAAGTCTCCATCCAGCCGGGCAGTAATGAAAAGGGGGTGGAAGTGTAATGCCTGAGACTGTCGCTGAAAGAGGGGGTTGATTGGGTGGGGCTACTGAGGAAACCCTTAAAACCTTGAATTGGAGAGCTTGGACCCCAAGTCCTGTCTAGAACGCCTGCAACAATTTTCTCTTAATAAAGGATTCCTGTTGGAAGAATTATTCCAAGAGTTCTGTCTTCTTAAGATGCAAAGTGGGGTGGGTCCTTACATTAGACAGGACTTGGAAAATTAATCCACCTGGAAGGGAGACCCTTGCCGGGGGATTTTGCAAAAATTTACCATGTCAGACACTGGTGCAAGAGAGGGGGAAAACTCCTGGAAAGAGAGCTGCTGACCAAATTGGAACCTTGCCAGATGTTGGGATCCGAGAGGTCAGATTCCTCAGGAGAAGAAGTGGTGGAGACACGGGACCACAAGCCTCGCTGGTCAATGGGCGTTGGAAAGAAAAGTGAGTGGGGAAAGGAATCAAGAAAGGTGACCCTGAGACGGGGGACCAAGCAACCAGAATGGAAGCAGGAGATGGAGAAATCCCTGCACGTAAGTGAAGAGGGAGAAAGCTGGGCACCGTACTCAGACTGGATCCTAGAGAAAGCTATTGACCTGATGAAGAGAACTCTCAGCTCCCTAAGAGAGGAGAATCCTGAGCCCTATGGCCGCCCCAGCTCCTGGAGCCGCAAAGGGAGAGACACCGAGGGGGAAGTGGAACCTGCAACCCCGGGGACATCTGCTGATCCAGTAGTCCCCACCCCCTACCGGACCACAGATGGCAATCTGGACGGAAGTCACTACCACCAACAATGGAGGCACCGATCCATTCTAAGACGTCCGCTGTTGGAGGTGAAATTCAAAGGGGAGCCAACACGCTTGGGGTTTTTCCTAACCCAAGTCCTCAGCTACATGGAGGAATACGGGCAGGACATTCCCGGCGACAAAGCCCACATCCGGATCGTGCAATCTGTCCTGGATGGACTGGCTGCAGATTGGGTGGTGAACTTGCATGACTCCAATGCCCCAGAACTCAGTAACTTCAACAGTTTCATGTCCTCTCTGAGAAGACAATTTGAAGATCACCTGGCTGATCGCAAAGCCCATGAAAGGATAAAAACGATGAGGCAAGGCAGACGCCCGGTGGCTGAACATACACAAGAATTCTGGGCCATTGCCAACAAACTGAATTGGCCACATCACACCCATCCTCAAGTCAGTGACTATATTAATCCCCCCCATGCCCGAAGCTGTGAAGGTGAAAGCCTTAATAAACTCTGGCTGCACCCGCTGCCTCATTAGCCCAACACTAGTGGGGAATCTGGGCATCCCATCTAGGAGACTGGAACAACCAATCTCATTTGGCCAGTTAGATGGATCCATAGCAGGGGGGGTGCCAGCTACCCTAGCCACTCTACCAATACACCTCTCCCTGGGCAAACATGAAGAGGACATAATGTTTGTGGTGACCCCAGGCATGGAATGCCCAATGATTCTAGGGATGGAATGGTTGAAAAAATGGAACCCCTGGGTAAATTGAAGAACGACAGAAATCAAATTCCCGAAGGGGGACCCTATGGACTTAAAACCCCAAGGGAGGCTACCAGAATCAAGAATAGAAAAAGCATCATAGGAGAGGAAAAAAGATTAACAGAAATACCAGAGGAATATAGAGACCTTGCTGAAGTTTTCAGTGAGGAGAGGGCGAAGGAGCTCCCCCCCCCACTGACCCACAGACTGTACCATTGAATTCAAACCTGGGGCAAAACTCCCG